TCGCCTGAACTTTGACTCTTCCCCTAGAACGTGATTTCCTCGTGTTTTTCCTACTACACGCAAATCCCAATCAGTTAGTCACGAAAGTCATCTAAACCACCCGAAATAGGTCGAATTATTCGGCGAAACGCCTAAAAACAAAGGCAAATCCTAGCATTTCAAAATTCCCTAGGGGCATTTGATGAGGACGAGAGAGAATGAGAGACAAACTTGTTTGTCTGCCCGGCCTTTAGGGCGACAAATCAAAATTTTTAGGTTGGCGGGACCGGATGATGGGCTGAACAATAAGGGCTTAAGATCGAGGGGAGAAGCTGAAAGAGAGAGAGAGAGAGAGAGAGAGTGAGTGAGAGCCAAGAGAGAGAGAGAGAGAGAGAGAGAGAGATAGAAAGAGAGAGAGAGAGAGAGAGAGAGTGAGTGAGAGCCAGAGAGAGAGAGAGAGAGAGAGAGAGAGAGAGCGAGAGAGATAGAGATACAGGAGAACCGAGCTCTAAATTCTAAATTTTCTACAAGCTAATTATAAGCTCTAAAGATTTTCCGGCAGCGGTACTTAAAATTAATATCGATTTTTCTAAAGTTTTCTTCGCTAAAAGTTTAACGACTAGAAAATGACTATTTTAAGGTACCTTATGAAATCCTACGAATTTTCCTTGCCTAACGGATTCCGCTCCATGTAAGCTGCCCGTTTAGGTGTACTGTAATTTCACTTTGCCATTTTTGAAAACAATAAACAGCCTATAATTGTTCTCCTAGTCCTAAAAAACACTCAAAAATTCGAAAAAACACAACCCAAAGACACATCTCCCAGCCGGGACCCCCAGACCCCTCGTAAACAAAAGCGGAAAATTATGCAATTAGAAGATAGCAGCCGGGCAGGATGGGCGGGGGCGGAGGGGCAAGCAGCTGCTCGGCTTTTCCCCCGATTCGAGCTACCCCACATTTCTATAAACGGAATCGAGGCCCGGAATTAGTAATGCCCCGGGAAATGGGTGGTGACGGCATAGCTAGCGGGTTGGAATTGGTTACGCATTTTATGGCCAAATTTCTGGACAAAAGCGTGCAAAATTGAAAAGGTCATAACTGGGGGTATGGCTAATTTTAGGTAGTCGTTAGATGGGCTGAAAAATTACGCTCGGCTTTGCTAGGAGACCAGCCACAAAATGTGTTGTGGTGGGTGGACGGGTTTTTGGAGTATTACGGAGACGGATTGAAAAGTTGAATCAAGATGCCAAAACTCTAAGGAAGCTACCTAAGTCCATGCTCTACACCGGTGGAAACCTTTCTTCGCTTGGACTTCGCTTCACCTGAGCTTAAGCTTACGATTTAGGCTTAGGATTAGCTTAGGATTAGCTTAGGCTTATTTTAGGCTTAGCTTAGGCTTAGCTTAGACTTGGCTTAGGCAATTACGCTTAGGCCGAGGCTTAGCCTTGGGCTTATTTGGCAAAACTTTCTATTCCAGTTATCTAAAAATCCGAAAATTTAAATTTTATTGCTAGAAGAAATCTGGCGAATTCTTACCGTAAGCCGAAAATTGAAAACCGCTAAATTCCTAGATAAAAACTTTTCAAAAAATAAATCGAAAAAGCAACACCCCAAGCACCAAAACAAGCCGAATTTCCGCATCTCGAAGTGAAAATCTTCAAAAGGGAAAGTGGAGGTGCGTAGCGAGTAGTCGAGTGGAATCCGTTTTGCATCTCATCCACCCCCTTCCACCCTCGCCCCCCAAATAAACAGAGCCGTAAAGGGCCCAATGCAGTGGCCCCCCAGCCGGTGGGCCACAATATGTGGAAATATACGGCCATACGGCATACGATGGCAATTTTCAGGAGGACGGAATTACTAGCAGCGGGGAAAATGGCCCATTTAATGTTCAGTGCACTTTTTGTCTAGATCCTACCTATTGTTTATGGTCGTCGTCGTTTTCGGGAAATTTCTGCAAAAAATGATGCAAATCTTGCTGTTTTCAACGGTCATTCGGATTCGCCGGTTATTGGTACTGGGCTTTTAGCGGGGGGGGGGGCTTAGAAAGCAAAGCCAATTCTTATTTTCAGCGTATTTTAACTGCTTGATAGTATATAATGTATTTCTATAGTTTTTCAGTTTTTGTTTGCTGGCAATTCATCGATAAAATTTCAAATTGATAACTTTGCTACATTTTTTGAAAAATTCAAAATTGTTATAATTTTTTAGCTGTTTTCAGATTTAATAGCGGTGAAAATACTATAACATGGTTTATATTTCGCTATAAATTGGAAATTGGTTCTCCCCCCCGCTAAAAGCCTAGTACCGTTATTTTCACATTAAAACTATGATAAACTGAATGAAGCGTTTTTCAACTCTTTTAAAGCGGGCATGCCAGCAAACGAAAACAGTTAAAGATAAAAATAGCTCAAAAAGTGAGCTCGACTGTCTAGACCTAGTCGGAGCTAGAGGTAGATTGCACGCTTCCAAGGTTCTTCAAAGGGATGGAGACAACGCTCACGAACTTTACGTTTTTATAGCTTTTTATGAGGCACCTGACCCGGTCTGTTTATCTGAACCGATGGGAAAAAACGCATGTTATTAGTCCGCGGCTGAATCCAGGTTTTTTCGGAACTACAAAACGCCCCGACACCCCCTAGCCGGAAGGGCCAATAACACAGTTTTTCCTTTGCAATTCAGGTTAAACCAAAACGTGCAAAAACCACAGCTACAATCCAGAAGATTCCATGGAAACTGGGGTCCCGCCGAGATTCAGCCGGGCCCGATGGACCCGAGGTTTTTGAGGGAAAAATTGAAGGGGTGAGGGGTGTAATTTCACAGAGTTTGAGGGGCTGGAGCTAAAAGTCGCTTGGGAAGGTGCCAAAACAATTTTTCAGCGGAATCTCGACTTTAGGGACATTTTCAAGGGGTGGTGCCACCAAGAACGAGATCACCAAAGAGTTCAGCCTTGAAATTCGAGCTGGACCCCTCAAGATGGGGCCGTACAGCTGCTTGTTCTCTCTCACAACCGCTATCTCTCTCTTTCATGCTCTCTCTCGCTCTCGCTCTCCATCCAAAATATTCGATTGCCCCCTAATGGTCCACGATCTCATCGAAAGTGTGAGAATTCTCCTAGAAGAACCCTTTCAGCCGTTCCACCTCCCAATGGGTCATCTAAATTTCAGAGCGCTCCCTCCCGGGGGATCGCCCACAAAAAATACGGTCGCCTACGAAATTTAAATTTGAGCACCAGCAGGCAACTTTGGTTCCATTGAAGGGGACTTTGAAACGGACCGGAAAAATTTTGAGGAAATTCTAGGGAGTGTCCCTAAGCCTAAGTCTAAGCCAAGCCTAGCCCTAAGCCAAAGCTAACATAAGATGAAGCCGAAATTGGAGCCGAAGATATTTTTATCGTGTTTTAACGCCTAGATCAATGGTTTTCTTGAAAAATTCACGAGCTCCACCCCATTTGGATGGCATGTTGATCTAGGATTAGTCTTTTTAAGCGGAAGTGCGCTCGAATAAGCCATAAAAGTTTGGGGATGTGGTCGAAAATCACTTGTTCCTATAGCGGTGTCTAGAGAACTAGTGTCTAGAGAAGGCTTAGCAGCGGATTTTTCACGGATTTCTGGTGTCAGAAAAGCCTTAAAAATCAAAAAATACGGATTTCATATCGAAACTTGGCCGAGAAAAAAAACTTAAAAATAAGGTGAGGCCCTTGTTTGGTTACTGAAAAAGATGTAGAAATCCTAGAGTACGAATGACACCTAAGTACGAGACGTTCCGATCGATCCTAGATGATATCACGCAACGCTGAGATGAGAGCCGATAGGATAAAAAGGGCATAATGGAGAATACGGCCTATCGGCTTCTTCTCTTCTCTTTACTTCGACGAGGTGTGAGAGAAATATTTGCGATCCCCTCGATCGGATGTGGCCCTTGACACCCTTGATCCTATTTGAGGGCGCCCGATAGAGAACGAGATCTTTTGGCCCCATCCCCCAATATCCCGCATCTCATCCACCCACTATCCACACAAAATACAATGATCTGCGTGAACCCGGTGTTGACCAAATCAAAAATTCATTAAATAATTTCCAGCAGATATTTAATTCAATAGAAAATACAATTGCCTCTGTGAACCCGGTTTTTAAATAGGACCAATGAGAGTATACACTTTGCATAATTCGGCTCGACCGACGCTGAAAAAAAACGAAAAATGCGCTCTCTGCTCCTTTATATAGGCTACCCCCACTTCGGATGTATGCTAATTGATTCCTAGCAAAGAGGGTCTCGGATTTTTCAACAAAAACTAATATTTAATGTCGAAAATAGGCGATTTTAATAAATTTGATATGCGTGCAGTCATCTCCAGACCATTACCCTCCTAATGACGTATCAAACATACCCCTAACTACCCTCCTTCTTGAGATACGACTGGAACAACCTGACGGAAGTTGCATGCAAAGTGGCACACACACACACACACACACACACACACACACACACACACACACACACACACACACACACACACACACACACACACACACACACACACACACACACACACACACACACACACACACACACACACACACACACACAGACATTATTTTTTTATATATTAAAAAATAGGATATTCTATTCAAATTATTTCCAACAATTATTTTTAAATCAATCCAATAGAAAATAATGGTATTGCGTGAACCCGATTAACAATTTTTCTATTGAAATGCAGATATAGATAAGAAATATATTATTACATTCAGAAAAAGCTTTGCTACGATATTATTCAAACCATAAGAAAGATAAGGATTTATCCACCCTGTAACAATATATCTAAAATCTCGTAGAAATCGGTATTATTTTTTACTCAGGATGCTTGTATGTCTGTCTTTCGTACACTACGATACTCTTCACGTTGTTCATTCACGATACTTTACATAAGCTTTATGGCAATATTTGCGTATTTTGCAAGGCGTGTTTGGCCGCAGTATTTTTCTTTAATTGTATTGGTTTTCAAGATTGCATAAACTCTAACAGGTCCCAAGCTGATTGTTTGCTAAAATCGAAGGACCAGAATCTGGCCCCAAGCCGGATTTTGGAGTCTCTGAATAACAGGAAAACCCATGAAAACTCACCAAATCGCTTCCTGCGCGTCGAATCGGCATTCCAAAGACTCGCCGGTGCCGTTGTGGATGGACCGACGATGTTCATCGGATGGCCGGGCAGCATGCCGTGTCTTCCGTGGGCGGCTGGTATCCTGGAAAAGCAGATGATTAACTGATATGAATAAAACAGAATCCAAGGAGTGAAGTAAACTCTCTAGAATGCAAGTGGGACTCGTCAAGGTAAGGGAATTTTGCTACGGCTTTACGCAATGTCGCGGTTAACGTGGTGGTATACAAAAACTTTGTTTGGCTCTCCCAAGCTTCATGATGTTTTTCTAGAATTTCGCGGTTTGGAAATTTCAGAAAATCAAAATCGTTATGTTTGCGCCCAGAAACAGTTTTTTCTTTAGTTTTTACAAGTTTAGCTCATTTTGTAAGCAAAAATGGGAGAGAGCTAGGATGCCATAAACGATTTTTCAGTGTATCAATCATTGAATTTTGTACGGAAAAGCAAAAGGACCCGAAAATTAGTTTTCGACTGACCGTGTGGCTAGATGATGCATATGATGATGGCTTCCCATTAGCAACGGGTCCATCTTACCCTCCTTTGGCATACCCCACATCGCGAAAGCTGAAAATTCAGAAAGTAATAACATGTGGAAATCCAAGGTACAAGAAAACACGAAAAACACGAAAAAGGAAGAAAGTAAAAAACGCATGAGAAGTACAATACGTTAAAAGATCAGCAAAAAATCACAACCATGTGGCACCCAAAATCGAAAATGTCCAGAATTCGCAAAGAAACCCTAATATGAATCCTGCTAGAGTACGATAGAGAGCAAAATCTGAGATTAACAACCAGAAAAGCCTGAAATGGAGCTAGGCAGCAGAGATCTTAGGATGCGTTGCAGGAAGCAACTTCACTGGAGCAGCGGCAAAATAGCATGGATTTTTGAGGAAACGGATTGACAGGCTAGCAGCGAACAGCGAAAAATTTGACGAAAGCGAGCTGCTCGGCAAAACAGCAGATATCTTTTGAAGTAACCGATTGTGACACGAAATCTAGGAAAACTGGCAGAGGATATTTGGGAAATGCTGCTAAAGATGCCTTCGCGGTTCCGCGGTAGTTGGCAGAGACCATTCAAGGCAACTCGCGATCGTTTGTTCTAGGGCAAATTAGTAGCTACATCTGGGTAAAATGAACTGCGGGCAAACCAGTAGTGATCCCATGGATGGAAAGAGCGTTTTTTCTAGTTAAAGCTGCGAGCAGAAGCCGCTAGAATGTCTACGGATTGGGGTCCACTCCATAGAATATTTCAGTGAAGGTCGACAATTACCTTCAGAGAGAAGGTATGGGATGTCACGGCGAAAAGCTTTAATCGCTCCGGGCCTAGCATCGGGGAGGATTCCCCGAATAAGTGGGCAGAGTTTAGAGGTTTGCAGGAATCGACTCTTTTTTGCCCATTGCGTAAAAATTTTAAGATTATTATGATGAAATTAAGTCGCAAGAATAGCAAATCAATAAGATCAAATACCACGTAAAATACCGTCTAAACTATCGAAAACGGTGAAAAATAAGAATTACTTGAATTCTAGAACGGTCATTGCGCGCCGGTAGATCTTATCCCTTATCGATCAGACCAGCCCGGCCGTCGCAATTCTATCTGCGGCTGAAGGACACAAAAATGGTACTGCACTTCGCTAAAACAAGTTTAGGAATATACAAAATTCTCACTGCGTAGCATGGCTTACCAGGGCCCTCTGAAAAGCGGCGTCTGGAAAACCGGAAACTCGGGGGTGTCACTGGCCGGGAGGGGAATGGAGCAGAAGTCCGGGCGGTTTCAGAATTTTGGAGCCGCTCGCCCCTTACACTTGGACTAGTGAAGCGTGGAGTTTGCTATTTTAACCCGAGCTTCCGGTCAAAAGGTGGCGAGATAGAGAGCGAGAGTAGAGAGCGAGAGAGAGCGAGGGAGCGAGAGAGAGCGAGAGAGCGAGAGAGCGAGAGAGCGAGTGAGAGCGAGAGTAAGCCAGCCACGGAGAGAGAGAGCGAGAGAAGGAGAGTGAGATATAGAAACAGAGAGAGAGATAGAGAGAGAAAGAGAGAGAGAGAGAGAGAGAGAGAGAGAGACAGACCTGAAAGATATGAATAAAGTGCACCTCCCCAAATATGGCCAATCCAAAATGGCCATTCGGTAAGTCCATTTACTGGGATTGTTGTGGATATAGCCCCAACTCCCCAGCTAGTCGAGTGGGAGGTCAGAATGGTTGAGCACGCAGGGTGCACCCACAAAAACAGCGGTGGGAATTTTGGTGTTCAGAATAGGCAAAACTAAACAAGACGCAATTATTATAGTTTTGTTAAAAAAGGAGTGCCAAGGCAAAATAAGCCTTTGGCGGGGATTAGAATTAGGCTCAGGCTTATGCTTAGGCTTAGGCTTAGGTTTGACTAGACATAGGCTTAGGCTTCCATAGGCTTAGACTGACGGAGTTATTGGGATTGTTGTAAGCTTGGGATCGTCCAGAACAGAGCTCAACGCAAGCTGTAAACCTAAAAAATGCCCTTCCACCCGAAACCCACATCCTCCCAATACGGAACCACTAATGCCAATTCCCCCAAATTCTAAAAGACATCTAATTCAATTATCCCCTCCTGGCTCATCGCCAATTTCCTGGTCCCTCAAAAGAAGGGAGAAGCCGAGTCTAAAATATGGTCTAGCCATGCTGGCTGGGTCACATCTGCCTCGACGCCCCGTTTTCTTCAGCCCAAGCCCTCCGGATCTGATATCAGAAACAAATTCCGTGGGGGGTGGGTGCCCAGGGGTCCGGGATTCGATTCGAAAATTCGATTTCCTTGCTCATGCCCCTGGCTATGTGGAAAAGAGGACCCGTTCAGATGGAGGTACCCAGATACTGGCTTCTCCTGCTCCCCTAGGGTCACAGAAAAACCGAAAATATCATCAGACCAGCATGTATGAACCGGGATTTGAGGAAGTTGCGCTGGAAGTTGAAAGATTTTGCATGGGTAAAACTACTTTAAAGGGGCTAGCAAGCCTGGGATAGGTAGGTTTTTGTCGACTAGGTCCGTTGGCCTGCCCGTCTAGGGAACACGAAAAATTGAACAAGGTCAGGATAACTTAAAATTACGACAACGACAAGTTCAAGCAGGTCAGGGATAAGTTTTGACACCCAATGCTCAAAATTCCATCAAAAATCGATCGAGAAAACAGAAAAGTTACGGCTCATCATCCCAATCCCAATGGGTCCTCGTCAACTTCAAGAGGATTAGGGACGAATTTTGTAACTCCCAAATGCTCAAAGGATCTATCAATATAGATAGTAAAACGCAAAAGAGGAATCGATTCTAGGATAGAAAAGTTGCGACGCTTCAACTGAAACCCCCAGAGGATAGCAAACTTCAACAGGGTCAGGGACGAATTTAGAAGCTTGAAAGTACTCGAAAATGCTTTCAAAAACCATCGAAAAAAATACAAGGGAAAATCAACTCCGAAAAAGAGAAAAGTTGCAGCGCCTCATCCCAATCCCCGGGGACCCCGGAGAACTTCAAGTGGGTCAGGGATGCATTTAAAAACTTGAAAGTGCTTAAAAATTCGATCAAAACGATAGCAAAAATGCTAAGAAAAATCAATTCCGCGACAGCCGAAAAGTTGCGACACCTCATCCCAATCCCCGAGGGACCCCGAGAACTTCAAGAGGGTTAGGGATGAATTTTGAAACTTCCAAGTACTCAGAAAAAAATGACGCGGAACCAGTATTCGGTGGATTTGTGAAGCCCCGGGGCATAGTTGATGCCATCTTTTTTGGGGGCAGAAAAGGAGGCCAGCCAGAAAAGGAGCCCGAGTGGGGGAGCTTCGAGGGCCGGGTCGTGAGAAATCAGCAGCTAGGAAGGGGGAAGGGATGGATGGCTGGGAGAATACCCCCAAATCTCGACCAGGAAAAGGAGAAGAAAAAGAGAAGACGACCAGCACTACCAACTGGCAGGAGATGTCTGGAGGAACTTGGCGGAAGCGCCGGGTTGAAATTGGGGAGGGTGGATGGTTTTGAAATGCCCTTTGCGATGTAGATGCAAAAAGTTATACTTTCTGATAGTAGTTCGAGGGTAAAAGTTTTTAAAGGAACGTAGAAGTCAGAATCTTGATAAAAATTCTGTCTGCTGCTTACGGTAATACGACAGATACAGAAAAGGAGGAAAACCAAAAACTACGAAAAATTTGTCGGCATTTTTCAGCAAATTAGAAAACCCCAGGCTTCATTCATAGCATTAATGCTAGCGGATTTTCGAAAAAGCCAATTTTTCAATCTTAATTTTGAAAAGCTACGCTCGCGGGGGATCAAGTGATAAAATAGGTAAAAATGTAAGTATTTGAAGCGATCCATTGAAGAATTCTTATGGAAACTAAGGTTTACTACTATTTTTAAGAAATCTTAAAAAATTTAAGAAACGCCGAGTTTGCTTGAAAACACGAATTCGGGCTGGTCAAACGGCTCAATTCAAAGAATTCAGATCTGTTTAGTCCTCAGTACCCCAGGGTAAACAGGTCAACAAACAATAGGATGCGGGGAAATGCTAATGAACCCGCCAATGAATCAACCTCAATGGCCAATGAGCAAATTAGCTACCTGGATGCAATTCTTGCAAAAACAACGAAATTGTTCTGTTTAAATAGTGTTTAAAAAGTTTAAATAGTTTCGGCTTGTGCTTCAATTTCTACACCAATTAACGGACAGGTTGGAATAAATAAGCCAAACAAGGTGATTGAAACAAGATAAGAACAAAGTAAATCAAGTCACATTAAATCTTGTTCAAAAATCAAGCTGTCCAAAAAAGATAGATTTTGAGCGAGCAAAATACTGAAATTTAAAGCCACAAAGAATCGCAACTTCAATGCCACAGAAAACGCAATCTAAAAAACCATAACAAATCGAAAAATGCATAAACTTAACCCAAAAAAAAGAAAAAGGTACATCTCAAAAAAAAATAGATGTAAAGAAGGGCCAGTCATGTTGTTTGTAACTTTTTGTGGTCAGAGAAGTGAGCGAGAGCTGGAGAGAGAGAGAGAGAGAGAGAGCGTGGGAGAAAGAGTGAGACATAGAGAGCGGCGGGGAGAGCGAGAGAGAGAAGAAGAAGAGGAGAGAGAGCGAGAGAGAGAGAGAGAGAGAGAGAGAGAGAGAGAGAGAGACTGAGTTACATCCTGAGGATATTCCGGGATTGAGCCAATTTATTTGATGAACGCACCGATCCTCTGCTTCCCCCTCCAACCCACCATTGCACTAATGAGAGCAACAGGAAAAAGTCACCGGGGGTTTGGTTGTGTTGACAAAATAAGAAAGGCAAAAAGTGCGGAACTAGAATTAGTACCCTGCTAATTACGGAACGTGTCGGAGGGGGCATAAATTTAGCAAAAAAAAGCTATAAAAATATCACTCTCTCTCTCTTGCCCTATAGTTTGCCAAAAATTCTATTTTGATGCTGAACTAATTCGCAACCTCTAGGGACAAACTAAAATTCAAAACTTTGAATTGGAATTTTTGGAGTGAAGAAGCTGCTTCTGACGTATGCGGGTCAAGTATAATTTTTGCAACGAAAGAGAATGAGAGAGAGAGA